CCTACACCACTCGTCGGCCATGCTGAGGCGGCGAAAAAAAAAAAAAAAGAGGAAGATTGGCAACAGATGTTAGCTCAGGGCAAATCTTCCTCACACACACACAAAAAAGACAGGATCCAAGATTGAACTATGCAGTTCCCCTGTTCCACTTCCACTTCCCAGGAGGTTTCTGGAAGAACCTTAGGTGGGCAAGCCACACTTGAAGTTTTCTCGGGAGTGTTTCAAGTACTCTGGTTGGGTAAACTGTCATTACACAGAAGCTGGGCTTTTAGGGGGATAATCTGAAACCCTAATTGTTGCTTTTAAAAGTTTTCTCCTCATGGGAACCATTGTTATTTCCTGTCGGAATTTAATTTTATCGGTTTTCTGAACACAATGAAAAGGAAGCTATTTACAACTGGTATCCCTACATGAAAAAAGTACAAAGTTCTCTAGCAGAGATCTCTTCTCCACAGATGGGAGTACTTTGAATCCATATCCTGAAACAGCACTCACTTGCTTTTCTGTCTTATTATACATTAACAGTATAATAAACAGTGCAAGACAGTCACCGATGGTACAGAGATAACTGCGAGGTGTAGACTCATCTATTACTTGTTTCTAACTTTTCTTTCCTCTCCCCTTTAGGCTGGGAGGCAGTAAAGTGTAAAGATTAAGGGTCCAGGCTTAGGAATCAGAGAGTCATGAGTTTAAATCTTGACTTTGCCATTTTCCAGCTCTGCAACTTTAGGCCCATTACTTATTCTTTCTGAAATTCATTTCCTTACCTAAAAAGTGGGCAAATTAATACCCATCCCACAAAATCATTGCAAGCATTAAATAAAATGCTATATGAGAAAGTGTTTCATAAAGTGTTCAATTGCAAGTTCAGAAGACCCAACTCAAACTTAAGCAAAATGAGAATGTATTGACACATTTTGAAATAATGAAAACAGTTAGAGCTTCAGGTATGGCTAGATCCAGGGGATCAAACACTGTCAATCGGTCCAGATCTCACTCAACTTTTATTCCACTTCTTTCCCCATCCTCAAACAGGTTCTACTTTAGTGAGACAAATGGCTGCAATAACTCCAATCTTTCTCCTCCAGTTTGAAGTCTAGTGGGAAAGAGAGAATACCTCTCTTCCAACAATCCCAGCAAAAGTGTCACTGCATATCATTGGCTCCAAATGGATTATCTGAGAACAAATGCAACGTTATAATTGGTCAAGCCTACGCCTAAACCATGAGCCACTACTGGAGCGAAGGGTGGAGTCAGTACTCCCTGTGTGGATGGAAAGTACAGTGGTTTCCAAGCAGGAAATTGGGATGCTATTGCCAAAGGAAGGAGGAAATGGATGGAGCCAGAGTCAGAGTGGGGAAAAATGGCAAATTTCCCCTAGAATGTCATAAAAATGAAAATGAAGATGGACTTTAACACCAATCCTAGAATACCATAATGGAGGAGCTCTTTCTTGGACCTTAAAAGAAGTAAAATTATGTTGTGAAGAAAGCTCCACTTGATACAATAGTTAATGAATGTATATGTTATTATTTCAAGAACTGAATGAAAATACAGATTTTTTTTCAATTGGATGAAAGAGTCACAATGAGAAACCAGAATGTCGCTGGGTGGGGGCAGGGCGGTGAGCGGCATCTGGAACTCTGAGAAGTCATCCGTCAAGGACGACTATGCTCATCAACAGAATGCGGAGCGCCAAGGATTGAGTCAATGACGCTGAGCTCTCAGTGAGCCAGAAGGATGGACGGCCAGGCAGAGGGGCCTGAGCCTCTGAGTTCCCAGAAGTCCCAATCTTATTTTCCAGAATGGCTGCCCCTGGACAAAGATCTTTAGTTTGAGTTCTTCCCACCAAGCAGTGGTTCCCAAACCTGGCTGCCCCCCAGAATGATCAGCTTTTTAAAAAGATGATTGTAGGAAGCCCTGCTGGCAATTGAGTCACTCAGCCTGGAGCGGGGCCCAGAAGTCTGGATTTTGAGCAAGCTTTCTTGCCGCCAGGACCAGTGTTTGGGATCTTGAAGGTCCCTGTCCATCCCTCCCCAGCCGCACTCCTCACTCTGTACTGGGTGGATCTATTGACACTGCTGTTCCTTCCCCAGCATATGGCCCCCCCACAGAGGGCAGGGACCCAGGTGGCTTTGGGTACCAGGCACACAGCACAGTGCCTGGAGTGGAGTGAGAACGCACTAAACATTTGTCCAAGGAAGGCTGGAGGACAGACAGGCAGCAAGCTGCCTTTTCCCATGTGGGCTTTTCTGGGAAAGATAAGCTTCTATTTCTGGAAAGAGCTGCTGTGATTGAGACAAGATCATAGCAGCAAAGGAAGAAAAGCCAGTGGGGGAGGGAAAGGCTCATGATCCCCCAGACCACATTTACTTTTAGAAGACTCCTCCATAACTTGAATAACAAAGCAACCACAATGGGAATGACGATTATTTATGAGTGTGACTATGTGCCAGGGTTAGCATCATATCCCCAGTTTACAGATGATGAAAGGGAGGCCCAGGGAGCTGGTCCAGGAGCACACGGTTAGGAAATGACCCAGCTGGGACTCTGCTACCCACCTGCCCCTCACCTCTCACAGCTGTGGTAGCACAGTTCCGGAGAAAACATCACGCATATTTGCAAGGTTCCCATTTCTATCTTAGAAGCATCCAGCAAAAATAAGTCAATAGTGGGGGAATCAGGGGAGAGCAAAAGGCCTCTCAAGAAAGAGATCATTGTACACCTTTCCAAACAGGCTACTTTCTGTCTAATTTTTATTCCTCTGCTGCGTGCTGAAGGTCACTGGTTACGTCTGCACAAACCAGTGCAGTCACGAAAAAGGAATACTTGGCCAGGAAACCCGGCCTGGAGGGGGTGCAGGAGGAGGGGACAGAGGAGGAGGAGGTGAGGCAATTCAACAACAAGGGACAGTCTGGCCTGCTTTCCCGCCCTAAACCGGCCCAATGACCTTCTTTCCTCCCAGTGACCACTCCTCTGGGCTGGCTTCCCTGCAGGCCCACAAACAGCCCAGCCTCAGGAGTCAGCCTGCGTTCCTGCGACCAGCTGCGCGCTGCTCCCCATTTCTCAGGAGGGAAAGCTCTCTTGAAAGAGCTGGAAAGGTGGGTGCCAAGTCGAGGATCATTTCATTCTTCTCAGAGTGTGCTTATTAAGAGTTTGCAACCGGGGTGGGGCATCAGGCCTCTTTCTGGAAAAGTACTTGCTCATCTTCTTGAGAGAGAAACATACTTAACGACAGAGCCTGGCGGCTCCCAAGGGGCTGAGTGGGGAGGTAGGGAGAGGGGTGAGGAAGGCAACGGGGGAGAAAGTAATTGTTCTCCTTGGATCTGCAAAGGCCAATCCAAGCGGGCTTCCGAAAAGAGAAATCTGGAGTGAGGAAGGCTGCCTTTCTGGATGTTGCATGGCTTGGGTGGCAGGAGCGACTAAGGAAAAGCCACCTGCTTAGGGAGACACACGGGGGAGGGCCTGGCAGCTCAGGCGCACAGGCAGCGTTCCTTCTAGGAATCGGGACACACCAAAGGTGTCAGAAGGGCCGTGGTCTTTGCAGATCCAGACCCAGGAAGGAGGCACAGGCTCAGTGGCTTCCTTTGTCCCCTTTCTGTGATCATCTTGTCTTTCCCCCCCAGACCAAACACAAAGCAGACCCTCAAAACACCACTTGGTCATCACAGCTCAAACTAAGCTGGAGACTGTGCAAGAAGGAGGAGCCGCATGCAGGCTGGCCTCAAGGGTTAGCAGTCAAAGGCTTAAAGAACAAAGAGTCAGGGTTACCTGGGGTTGATGAAAAATTTACTTTTTGTTAAGAGAAAAATGCCTCCTTAAAATGTTAACTATTACCCAAGCATTCTTGAAAAAGAAAGCTGTGCCAACACACCCCAACCTGATTTTTGCTGTTTTTAAGGAAGACCTTTCCAATAGGCAGAGCGCTCCTGAGGGGCAGGACTGCCTCAGAAGGGACGGCTCCCTGATGATGGAGAGCTTGAGGCCAAGGCCTGGCGGAGGTGGCCCCCCATCTGCACCCATTCCCTGGGGGGTTAGCATAGTAACCCCACACCAGGCCATGTCAGAGGTGGCTCCCTGGATGTCACTTTCTGGGCTTCTCTTCCTACCTTTCTGCTACTCCTTCTTGGAGACTTTCCTGGGCACCCCCTCCTCCCACGGCTTCAATAGCATCTCTCAGCTCATGGGCCTGTTTTCACAGTTTCCCATTGATCACTAAGAGCTGCCGTGTACTGAGAACTTTCTACCAGGCTCTGTGCTCAGCGTCTTAGTGAGAGCTGCTCAGTGTGGTGTCTAAACCTCGGGCTTGGAGCAGACCACACACCCTCACATCTTGCCCTCAGCTACTCAGTGAATGTGTAAGCTTGGGCAAGACACTTGCCTCTCTGCACCTCCGTTTCCCACACTTCAGAACGGGGACAACAATAACGCAGACTCCACGGGGTTCTCGTGAGGCTTACGTGAATTAAGACATGCCAAGTGCTTGTAACAGAGCCTGGTATGTGTGTTCAATGTGTTAGTAATTCTAATTGTGTCTTTTAAGCCTCACAGCCAGCCTCCAAGGTAAATATTATTATCCCTATTTGCAGGGAAGAAACCCGAGGCTCAGAGAGGAGGTGGAGCCCAACTAGAGTTTGCAGCCCAGCATTTTCTCTGCTACTCTGCAATAAAAATAACAATAACAGCTAACCTTTTACCCTTAGAGAGTCTGGGGCAGAGTCGGGCTTCAGATTCAGGGGGCGAGTTTCAGAATGCATTCTTCTAATCACCATCCTAGATTGCCTTTCTGTAATAGTTATGCAGAGAATAAATACTCAACCCTGGAGTTTACTGCTAACATGGCACCTACGCTGGGGTTGGAGAATGCCTTTGAAAGTGCAATTGACCCTCAAACCAGCTCTTTGGAGGCAGCATTGATCCCTGTGGGCCGACTTAAAAATGTGAAAAATAGCCTGGCATATAATACTCATTTAATCCTCACCGTGATCTCGGTGGTATTACCCACCTTATTTACAGGTAGCTAAGACAGAGGCAGTACCTCCCCATGATGCTGCAGTTAGTATACGTTGGAATTGAGATTTGAATCTGTGTCTGGCTCTAAAATCCCTGTCTGGGTCCCAGAATCTTGATAGAGCTTAAAACAACACAACACAAAGCAAAACAAAAACGATTCATGCTCACTGAGTCGGAATCTCTTGGGATGGGGCCTGGGCATCAGACTTTTGAGAACCAGAATCTGACGTGCAGCCAACACCGAGAACCCTTCCCAGCTGCACTGCCTCTTCCAAGTGCCAGACCAGAGTTTCCAACCACCAGCCAAACATCCCCCGGGCACTCACCAGCATCTCACCCTCGGTAGGCTCAGGCTGAACTCACCCTCTCTCCCTTCTTCTCGTGGCCTGGACCCACCATCCATCCTCCAGTCTCCCCTGCTGGGAACTCAGTCATCCTCAACTGCTCCCTCTCCTTCCCTGCTGCTGGTGCCCCCCAAAATGTCTCCAGACCCCAGGCCCTCCTCTGTCTTTGCTGCTTCCGCCCTGGTAAAAGCTTCGTCATTTCTGGTCTGGTTACTGCAACAGCCTCCTGACTCGTCTCCCTCTGACCGTCTCTAGTTCTTCTCTGTGTCTCCATCTCTCCACAGGCTAGTCCCATTCCTTCTCCCCTGTCCTCTCCATCCTGGAGTCCAGCCCATATCCTTTCTCCTGCCAGACTTAATGAACTAAAAACTATCTCATCACCCGCTTTTCTGCTTAAAAACTTCCACCAGCATGAGCCACCTGCTCATATCCACACTCCTTAGCATAGCAAACCCAGCCCCCAGTGCCTGGCTCAAAGTTCCCTCTTGAGTCTCAACCCCTCCCAGGTGGCACAGGCCATGTTCTAGCCACTGAATTTCCCCCCATCCCCCAAACAAACTGTCCTTTCACAGCCTGTGAACATGTCACATTGTGCTTCCTGCCTGAAATGGGCTTCTAACCTGGCTTGGCTGAAAAACTCCTACTTGTCCTGAGGGACCCAGCTCAAAAGTCACCTCCTCTGGGAAGGCTTCCTGGAGTCCCCCAGAGAGATGGCCACTACTTTCTCTGTCTTTCCCCAGCACAAGGCTCCATCTGCAATTGCAGGGTGGCATTGGAATGATTTGATGAAATGTCTGTCCCTCAATGAACTCCTTATTCAACAATAACATATTAAATGTCTCCTACTGCCAGCTGCGGGCCCAGGTGCTGGGGATACTGATGAATAAAACTGAGTTTCTGTCTTCCAGTCTACTGAGCGTGGCAGAGAAGAGGGGATAGGGCATTTCAGAGAGAGGGCACAGCACGTGCAAAGACCAAGAAGGCAGGGGCAGCAAGTCTTATGTATGGAGGTGAGGAAGGATGCTTAAAGAGAGTCGCAGGAGATGAGGTGGGGAGATGAGGCGACGGAGGAGGTTTGGGATGGCTATGAGATACCCCCTCATTCCCCCTGAGGCATCGCCGCTGAGATGCCCTCCACGCCATGAAGATAGGATTTGAGAGGACCATGATCAGATTTGTGGCTCAAAAAGAGCCCTGTGAGTTTCTGGAGATTGCCTCTCATCCATCTGCACAACCACAGCACCTAACACAGTTCCTGGAACACAGTAGGCCCTGGGGAAACACGGGCTGAAAGAACGAACGCACGCTGGGCAAGGAAGCCCCTTGCGGGGAGGGGTTGGATCCCGCGCGCTGGGGTCCCTGAGATTCGATGTTTCAAGTGACTAAGCTTCACTCCGCCCCCACCCCCCGGGGGTGCCCGCAGGTGCCCGACTCCCGCCATGCTGGCGCTGCTGTGTGCCTGCCTGCTCCTGGCGGCCCGCGCCTCGGACCCTTGGACCCACCCGGGCTCCGCGGAGCCCAGCTCCAACATGGCGGAGCAGATCCGCGACATGCACGCCAAAGTGACGGAGATCTGGCAGGAGCTGAAGCAGCGGCGGGCGGCGGGCCGCGGCCGGGATGCCGCGCTCTACGCCACCTGCCAGGTGCAGCCGTCGGCCACGCTGGACGCCGCGCAGCCCCGGGTGACCGGCCTCGTGCTCTTCCGGCAGCTCGCGCCCGGCGCCAGGCTGGAGGCCTTCTTCGACCTGGAGGGCTTCCCAGCCGAGGCCAACGGCTCCAGCCGCGCCATCCACGTGCACCAGTTCGGGGACCTGAGCCGGGGCTGCGACTCCACCGGGCCGCACTACAACCCGCTGGCCGTGCCGCACCCGCAGCACCCGGGCGACTTCGGCAACTTCGCCGTGCGCGACGGCAGCCTCTGGAAGTACCGCGCCAACCTCGCCGCCTCGCTCACCGGCCTGCACTCCATCATGGGCCGCGCCGTGGTGGTGCACGAGGGCGAGGACGACCTGGGCCGCGGCGGCAACCAGGCCAGCGTGGAGAACGGCAACGCCGGCCGCCGGCTCGCCTGCTGCGTGGTGGCCGTGTGCGGGCCTGAACCCTGGGCGCGCCAGATGCAGAAGAACTCCGAGCGCAAGAAGCGGAGGCGGGAGAGCGAGTGCAAGGCCGCGTGAGCGCGCCCCCACCCAGCGGGCCGTCCGAGAGCCTCACTTACGCCCCGAGACCCCCCTCCACGCCCTGACACCCCTCCAGGAGCCTTGAGACCCCTCCACGCACCTTGAGACCCCCTCCGCCCCCTGAGATGCCTCCATGCACCCGAGGCCCACTCCACGCCCTGACACCCCTTCATGCGCCTCAGACTCCCTCCATGCCCTGACATCCTTCTCTGAGTCTTGAGACCCCCTCCACACCCTTCCATGCACCTCAGACCCCCTCCATGCCCTGACACCATGTCATGCGCCTCAGACCCCCTCCATGCCCTGACATCCTTCCATGAGCCTTGAGACCCCCTTCATCCCCTGACCCTTCCATGAGTACTGAGACACCCCC